CCTAGAATTGGGCAGGCATAGACAGGCAGATCCTTGGGGCTTGGGGCTAGTCAACCTAGCCTACTTGATAAGTTTCAGGCTGGCAAGAGACCTTGTCTCAAAAACAAGATGGAACCTTGGGAACATCAGCTGAAGTTGTCCTCTGGTCTCTGCATATGTGCAGACAAATGCACTTGCACACATACACCTGCACAACACATACACACACATACTGCACCATTATACAGTTTGGCCGCTGTGCAACTATCACAGCATGTATGCAAAGTGTCTACGATGTTACTAGCCAATATTCTGTTACGAGACTATCATATATGAGGCCCATCATTCCTCAAAACCTCATTATGCAGTGTATGACTGTATATAAGTCAATCTAAGAGAGCTTCAGGAGTCTATTGTTTTTGACATAATTCCTATGAGTTAATTGTCATTTAACTCATGCTATTTAATTTAGACATGGTTATATTCATACCATATGATGGAAAGCTTTAACTCTTACATTTTACCCATGAGTTAAATCTTCTTGCTAGGAATGGGAACACACTGTGTTTATAAAATGGAAGATCTGGATTTTTTTATATGATAGATTTTTTCAATCTTTTCTTTGATACTGAGTATTTATTTATTTATTGAACATGTACCACATGCCAAACAGCATTTTATGCACAAGGAGGTGAAGAAGACTAAAATCAACAACAAATTATTTAACTCTAAAGGTCCTAATTTGCTAACAGAGAGGAAATGATTTGGCTCAGGTGTTGTTCTCAGCACTTTTGACATACATTTCATTCAATGTGCACAAAGGCCCCTTGGAACCCACTTACAGATGAAGGAACTATAGGTCAGGGAAACTCAATAACTTGCGAGAAGCAACCAGTTAATGAACAGCAGGATCAGGAATAGGGCTCAGCACCACAAGGCTCTAAGCATATGCTTAATGATCCACCACAAGCTTCCTGGCCACTGCATTGGGGAGGGGATGGTCTGGTGGAGTTGGGATGACAAAGGAGCATCTCAGAAAAATCTGAAGTTGTGGAAGAAGAGAATGCCTGCTCAGGGAAGGGTTGCCAGAGACATATATGACAGCTGTTGTGTGAAGCAGGTCCAAGGGTATGAAAGAAGATGACACATTTGCCCATATGTCCTGTTATGAAGGTGGGTAGAAGTGTCCTGCTAAAGATGCTATTTACTCTCTGGATTTCATCCTTTAGCAAGACAATGGGGATGCAGTGGTGATGGTAAAACTGGATGCAGGGAGCCCATGGCCTTTTCTCCATGAGCAACAACAATCAGTAGTACTTAAAGGCCATGGCTGGGGAACAAATAGAAGTGACAAATCTGAATCTTGATGTCTTGATGTCCAATTAAGTGTAGATGGGAAAGGAGAGGGGGACCAAAAAAAGAAGAGGGAGAGGGAGAGATCGACTTTTTAGAGAACTGGTTCATACATTATGTGGTATGAGAAGTCCTATATAGGTCATCTGCAAGCTGGAGAACCAGGGGAGCTGCTAGTATGGCTCAGTTCAATTTCAAAGGCCTATGATCCAGGGAAGCCAAGGCTACAAGTCCCAGTCAGAGGCTGAAGGCCTGAGAATCCAGGGAGGGTCGCACTCGTGTAAGTCCTGGTGTCCAAAGGCCAAGGAGTCTGGAGTTCTCAGGACTGAGGACAACAGAAGAAGAGATCTTCTCTATTCTGGGAGATAAGTTCATTCTTCTTTTCTGTTTTCGTTGTCTCCAGGTCCCTGAATCATGCTTGTCTGCCTAGAAGGTGGATATTCCCCATCTACTGTACTCTGACTCAAGCACCATTTTCCTTTGGGAAAAAACCTCATAGACATATCTCAAGAAAATGCTTTGCCAGGTTTCTAGTTATTCCTTAGTGCAATTGAGTTGCTACCTAAAACTAACTAGCTTTCATGCTCAATTCCATCAGTTTTATTTCCTTAATATTTCTTTTTTAAAAAGCATTATTTTTATTTTATGTGTATGCGTGTATTGCCTGCATGTATGTATGTAAGTGCATCGGTGTGCTATGCCCAAGGAGGTCAGAAGAGGGCATCGGATGCCCTAGAACTGGAGTTAAGCAACTGTTAGCCATAGGTGCTGGGAATTGAACCAGGGGTCCTCCGCAAGTGCAGTCAGTGCTCTTAACCACTGAGCCGGCTCTCCAGTCCCCCTTTAATATTTTTTAAATCCCCACTTCCATAAATTTCTGGATTGGCTGTTTCCAATTCTGTGAGCAATGTCAACCACCATAAGGTCCTTCAAAATCAGACTTAGGCCTATGTATTCATCTGTATCTGTCTCTACGTGCTCTGCATATAACCCATTCTACCTATTCTGAAGTGACTGAAGTGTGCGAGAGATCACATTCTCTTACTTCTGTTTCAAAGCCCAAAGGCATATTCCCTACCCCAACCATTGTCTGCACACCAGGGAGAGGCAGAGATGAGTACATAGGGCTGATGGACCCTCCAGGTGCACCTGTTTGGAAAGCTGTGACTCATGTGAGTGTAGTCACATCCATTCACTGGAGGTTCATTGATAGCAAAAAAAGAGTAGCCCCTCTAGATCTTCATTTAAATGGAGCAGACAGGATCCTAGCTCTGTGAATTGCAGAGATTTGGTGGGCTGCTTAATCATCATACAAAATACGCTGGAGAGCTGGTTCAGTGCTTAAAAGCACTGATTGCTCTTGCAGAGGACCCAGGTTTGATTCCCAGCACCCACATGGCGGCTAACAACCATTCATAACTCCAGTTCCACGGTATCCGACACCTTCTTCTTACGCGGGAACTGCATGATACAGGTGCATTTACACACATGCAGGCAACATACTCATATACATAAAACAATTAAAAATATTTGTGTTCTATTCTACGGAGATTCTAGGCATCTTTCTTAGATTAAAAAAATCACATGGTAGTAGCTGGCATGAATATGAAAAGAAGTATGCATGAGACAATATCTCTTATCACTTAGCTTGTATCTCACTGTGAGAGAGGAAATACAGTAGTGGAAAATGAGGCTGGAATTACTGAAAATGTAGCAGCTCTATTAGGTATGCCATAAATAGGTCCCACATGTAAAATTAAATCAGCCTATTTTATTATAGAGACAACTACAAGTATGTGTAGGAGCAGAAAGGTGTGATACTTCTCACCCACCATGAAGGGGCACGGCCAACACTCCCATAACATGTCAACAAGAGAAAAGCCTAACAAAGGTAGTTAGCCTCAGTTTTATATGACACAGGAGCTCCCAGGAATGAAGATTCAAAGACCCAGAGAAACTATTTTTAGGTCCAGGTTTGTTGGAGAATTGACAGCCATGCAGAAATATGTTTGGGCAAAACAATGCAATATGATGGTAGAGGCTGAAGAGGATCCCAGCAAAGACTGTGTGTTCACATTCTTGGTCTCTGTAACACTCCTCTGGGGGTTTACCAAACAGAATGCCCTAGAACTAGGGGCTTCAAAGGGGACCTTTCTAGCTTGGAGGGAGAGGGATTCTAGTTTCTATAATGCACCTTGGAGAGAAGGAATATTGGCTTCTGTGATGACCTTGCTTCCAAGGCCTTTCAGTTTCCTTCCCTTCAAGGGACTCAGCAGACCGCATAGACAAGGGCCACAGTTTGCAGTAATGTATTTTGAGCCTGAATATCATACAAAATTTATAATAAAATACTCTGCTCAGTGCTGAATTTTAATGTCTTGGTTGTAGTTGGGAAAACCTGCAATTATTTCATTAACATCTAATACATTAAAAGTTAATCATTTACGGGCAGAAACAAACTTGAGGTTGTCATATGATAAAACGTTCTATAAAATAAGCGCAGTATTGCTCATTTTTTTTTTTTTGGTGTGTGCTGTTGTTTGATGCAGCAGGTTCAGATGAAGGATGCCAAAATTATCCTAGAGAATTATTTATATGAAAAAAATGTTGGGGCTGGAGAGATGCCTCCGCGGTTAAGAGCACTGACTGCTCTTGCAGAGGACCCGGGTTCGATTCCCAGGACCCACACGGCAGCTATGCACCGTCCTTTGTTCCAGTTCCAGGGGAATCCGACGACCTCTGCAGCATTGTAAGACAAGGTTGCACTCACATACATGCAGGCAATGCACTCATACACACAAAATAAAAATAATAAATAAAACAATTTTTTTAAAGAGTTTTTTTTTTTTTTTTTTTTTTGGTCTTTTTGAGACAGGGTCTCCCTGTAGCCCCAGCTGTCCTGGAACTATGTAGACCAGGCTGGCCTTGAACTCAGAGATCTGCCTGCCTCTGCCTCCCGAGTGCTGGGATTAAAGGCGTGCGCCACCACACCCGGCAAAAGTGAGTTTTTTAGCTGGGTGTGGTGGCGTACGCCTTTGGTCCCAGCCCAGCACTTGGGAGGCAGAGGCTGGTGGATCTCTGTGAGTTCGAGGCCAACCTGGTCTACATAGTGAGTTCCGGGACAGTTGGGGCTACAGGGAGACCCTGTCTCAAAAAGACCGAAAAAAAAAAAAATTGTGATCACTTGAAAAATCGGAGGATAAATATTCATATTGTCAAGTGATCTTTAGAAAACCCTTCCCAGTGCTGCTTGAAAAGAACAGAATAAAACAAAAGTGAATTACATCTGTAACCAGGGAAGGCTGTATCTCCTGCCTTCTAGCTGCTCTGGCTTTATTCATCCCTCCAAGTTTGGACCCTGAGAGCAACTGTCTAGTGCAGGGCTTGACCAAGACCGCCCCTCTAGGAACAGACGGTTGCAACTGAATGATGCGGCCACCTCCAGGTAACACGGCGCCGCATCACTCTGCACCTCAGTTTCCCTACGAGTGCAGTCGGGGTACCTGGCAGCTGCAGGCTGGCGTCTAGGACGCGCTCTCCACGCGCGGAGTGGGACGTCGGGAGTTCCCCGCAGCGCGCCGCCCGGACCCGCTTCCTAAAATATTAGTGTAAGAAGTGTGAATGGCACGGGAGCGGCCGCCCACGTGACCGTTGCACGAAAGCCACTTGTGGGGCTCTGGGCGGGCGGCTGCCGAGGCGCAGGCAGAGGCACAGGCCGCGCGCTCGCCTTCCCGCCGCGCCCGCGCCCCCGTTGGCTGGCGGCTCCGGGAGCGCAGGGCCCGCCGGCTGGGGCGCGAGCGTCTGGTGAATCAGCCCAGCAGAGCGCGAGCGCCGGCGGCGGGGAGCCGCGGCGGAAAATGGCTGAAGCGGCCGGCGGCTTTCTGGAGCAGCTCAAGTCCTGCATCGTGTGGTCGTGGACGTACCTGTGGACCGTGTGGTTCTTCATCGTGCTCTTCCTCGTCTACATCCTGAGGGTGCCCTTGAAGCTCAGCGACAATCTGAGCACAGGTAAGGCCCGGCCCGCGCCGCCCGCGCCCCTCCCCCGTCCCGGAAAGTTAGTGCAAGTGGCGCGGGGCCGGGACGACGGGGGCGCGCGCTCGGGGCCGCGCCTCAGGTGGCTGCTGCAGCCCCGCGGCCTTCCCCGGCGCTCCGGGCGAGCGGCGTCCCCGCGCTGGAGTTCCGAGGCCGCCCCGGACGCAGCCCC